CCACAGCACTTCCAGATACTGCAGGGGACCACAGCCCTTCAATATACTGCAGGGGACCACATCCCTACCAGATACTGCAAGGAACCACAGCACTTTCAGATACTGCAAGGGACCACATCCCTTTCAGATACTGCAAGGGACCACAGCCCGTCAAGGTACTACTTGGGACCCCAGCCCTTCCAGATACTACAGAGGACCACATAGCAGTCTCCTCCTATGACCATGCGGGCCTGTTCTCCCTCCGAACCTGCACGAATTAGCAGATGTTGTACCTATTTTCATATTTGAACTATATACATTTAGTCAGATTGTATAAATTTTAACATGAACATGTGATGCATTAAGACTACACTGGCTATTTCCATTAAATCAGGAGTTACTACAATAAGGGTGTACCATAACTTCTATAATTGAGCATACACATGTATATGGTTAATGTTATGGCGATGCATTTAGACACGTTGATGCATTAGAGGGGTTTAGCACCACTGTTCCAAGTGGTGCGCCATCTTAAAAACTAATGCAGGGAAGGAAACTCGTGTTGGTATCATCGGCCAAACGAAACATTAAAATGATTTTAATTTTGTTTGTGAAAACACGTAAAGTTCTGTTAATATATCAGCAGCACTACTCAACTGCCCAGCACCGAACTATCAGTGCTACACTGACATCATTAAGCTCCGGCAACGGCACCTCAGTCTCGGAAAGTGTTCCCGTATTCAACCGAATGTATCGTCATTTGCACTGTCGAATTCAGTTACAATTAAAATAGCGTAACTGACGACTCTCTTTATGGATTATTTTTAACGTTACAAATTGTAAATAAAAGCATTATCTTTTAACATATCTTTGTTAATGAAATTTACAGCGTGCTGTTCTTGATTTATTACCACATAAACAAAGAAAAGTTAAAAGATAATACTTAACTACATAATGCAATGTCCGTTATCATGAAATCTACAATTGTTATTTTTATATTCAATAATACAAGTGACGATGCTTTTTCTCATTAAATGTTGAAGTGACGATGTTATATATCATTAAATGTTGAAGTGGCGATGTTTTTTTATCATTTAATGTTTAAGTGACGATGTTATATATCATTAAATGTTGAAGTGACGTTGTTATATATCTTTTAATATTGAAGTGACGATGTTATATATCATTAAATGTTGAAGTGACGATGTTATATATCATTAAATGTTAAAGTGGCGATGTTTTTTTATCATTTAATGTTTAAGTGACGATGTTTTTTATCATTTAATGTTAAAGTGACGATAATTCGATCATTTAATGTTAAAGTGACGATGTTATATATCATTAAATGTTGAAGTGACGATGTTTTTTATCATTAAATGTTGAAGTGACGATGTTATATATCATTAAATGTTGAAGTGACGATGTTATATATCATTAAATGTTGAAGTGACGATGTTTTTTATCATTTAATGTTAAAGTGACGATGTTATATATCATTAAATGTTGAAGTGACGATGTTATATATCATTAAATGTTGAAGTGACGATGTTTTTTATCATTTAATGTTAAAGTGACGATAATTCTATCATTTAATGTTAAAGTGACGATGTTATATATCATTAAATGTTGAAGTGACGATGTTATATATCATTAAATGTTGAAGTGACGATGTTTTTTATCATTTAATGTTAAAGTGACGACAATTCTATTATTTAATGTTAAAGTGACGATAATTCTATCATTAAGTGTAAAACTTACGATGCTTTTCTCATTAAATGTATAAGTCAGGGTTTCTGTCATTAAATGTTCGATATTGATATAAAAAAAACAACAGCGTAATGAAATGTAATGGGTGATTGTTTCCATGTCCCCGGAAAAAAGCAATTATGTACCAAATAAAAATCCTTTCTTGAAAGTAACGGCATTCCCCTAATCATCTCTGTTTTCTTAATTGAATCAACGTCCCGTCGATATCTTGTCATCATCTATATAATATGCCAAACAAATTCCGATAGATTTTTTTCGGAGACAGCAATAACAGCCCTAATCGGCCTCGAGGTGTGCCCAAAGTGTTAGACAATGTAGAAATATCGATGACGTTCGGAAGTATCTGCGAGTTCGACTGCCGAAGTGTGCAACAAGTCGTTTCCACTACTTACCTGTTTTGGACACGTATTTGCAGGTGTTTTGATAGACTGACAATGTTTCCGTTACATACATTTATTGGACATTTATTTACATGCGTTTTAATAGATTGACAATGTTTCCGGTACATACATTTATTGGACATTTATTTACAGGTGTTTTGATAGACTGACAATGTTTCCGTTACATACATTTATTGGACATTTATTTACATGTGTTTTAATAGAATGACAATGTTTCCGTTACTTACATTTATTGGACATTTATTTACAGGTGTTTTGATAGACTGACGATGTTTCCGTTACTTACCTGTGTTGGACATGTATTTACAGGTGTTTTGATAGACTGACAATGTTTCCGTTACTTACCTGTGTTGGACATGTATTTACATGTGTTTTGATAGACTGACAATGTACTCATCACTTACATGTATTGTGTCTCACCTTCTGTTCACTGCACATGTCAATTGATCGAGTCCGGACATGGTTGTACTAAGTGTAATAATTCTAACGCCACTTTCATTTTTATATCAGGTGAAGTTTTCAAAATCCTTAATGCTTTATGCGAAGATTGATCATGCTATATAGAAATATTTCCGTTTGATAGTATAGATTGTATATAGTTTCATATAAAACCAGTGACATGTTTATTTGTGCGGTTTCCGTGACTAGTGCGTGCAGACGGCTTGTAGAAGTCGTAGTCATAAAACAATTACGCTTAAACACCAGTAGATTTTAATATGTGATGGCACATTTATAAAGGGGTGAAGCGTCAGGGGGTGTTCGCATCTCTCTTTACCGCGTTCCGGTTGTCAAAAACAGAAACCTTTGACATTCTTATATGCCACTAAACTTAACAAAAATGCCTTTTAAGGCCTTTGTCAGGTATGTATCTATGAATCTATACAATTGTCATTGATATTGAACTAAAACATATAAAAGCTATAAGCTTAAAAACTAAGTAGCAACCTATACTGAACTATTTAGTTGAGTGAGTCCTATACCAGTAAATAACATAGATCAACCATTACTTTCCTACTATCCTCAATATTTCTACTTACTTAACCAATATATACCCTGAACTAACCATATGCTCTTGTTAACCAATGGATACTCAGAACTAGCAATCCCTGCTTTTGTATTTTTATCCAATCAATACTCAGAATTTACCATAACAAATAAATACCCTAACTTAACCGTCTGTACGTTATTAATAACCAATAAATACCCTGAACTACATCCGTAGTCTATTAACCAATAAATGCCCTGAACTACATCCGTAGTCTATTAACCAATGAATACCCTGAACTACATCCGTAGTCTATTAACCTATAAATACCCTGAACTACATCCGTAGTCTATAAACCAATAAATACCCTGAAATACATCCGTAGTCTATTAACCAATAAATACCCTGAACTACATCCGTAGTCTATAAACCAATAAATACCCTGAAATACATCCGTAGTCTATTAACCAATAAATACCCTGAACTACATCCGTATTCTATTAACCAATAAATACCCTGGACTACATCCGTAGTCTATTAACCTATAAATACCCTGAACTACATCCGTAGTCTATTAACCAATAAATACCCTGAACTACATCCGTAGTGTATCAACCAATAAATATCCTGAGCCAACCATTCGTTCTTATTTTACCATTAAATACCCTGCACTTAACATACGTAGTTTATAAACCATAAATACCTTGAACCAGCCATCCATACTTTATTGATAAAAAATTCCCTGAACTAACCACCCGTATTTTATTAACCAAGGAATACCCTAAACCAAACATCCTTACTTCATTAAGCAACGTATAGCATTAACCAACCACCCATACTTCATTAAATGGTAAATACCCATGGTAGATATCAATGATGACTTTTGTTTATTAGATAAAAAAGGTCATATAAGTGTTTGTCATCTATGTGTTAACCAATGAAAAAGTAAACCAACCTCATGCTAATTTTAAAAAAAACTTTGAAATTGTAACGTGATATAGTGGAAGCTGTAAGTCAGTTGGATTGGAGACCTTTACCTCCAATGAAAAGTAGCAATCGATTATATAACCTGAAAAAGTGTAAATATTTACCTATTACCAGGCAATACAACCTGATGGTGGTTTCTGAAGATCGTATTGAAGTAATGACTTTGATTTTAAAACAGAACAAAATGCACACTTTACCACACAAAATGTCGATAGAACAACAAACAACATCGCCAGTACACATGGAACAGATCCGAGCTCAAAGGCGACATAGCAATGTGCCACAATGTCAGTACAAATATAACAATTTCGAGTTCAAAGTCGACATAACCATGTGCCTATATCAAACCAAATTAAGTCCACCACACGAGAACGGTAAATGACAACGAAACAACAAGGCACACTCATTATCATAATCAACAACATCGGACTCATCACACAAGGAAACAGAACAAGCGCCAATGCGATCATATGGCGACCATAACCCATGTCCATAGTCACCTCAATCTGCATTTCTCGAAATCTTTTAAGTTTATCGGTGCAGTCGACAACTAACACGGAAATCATAATATGTCGAGCAAAATCATAATAACCGAATAAAATGCAGCATGCAAACACTGCAATTTAGGGGAGCAGGAATGTAACTATCAAGAAAAGGAAATTTCACGATCGAAATTTCGACATCTTTACGCCGTATATAACCCTTATTGATAAAACAAACCAAAAACTGATTACAGAGTTATTACTTGGTTTATACGTTTAACCTGGTACGTTTATAGGAAGTAGTATAACACAAATACATAAGGAAACGCATTCTAAAATATACAGCAACAGCAAAATATTATACAACCAAATCAAAACAGCTAATTCAAGATGCGTTACCTGTTTTAGAGTGTCCAGCTTGCAGGGCTAAAATGAACACGACAAGTCCGAGAAAGGCCGATGTTATGTCCATTTTGTTACAGGCACTTCAATGAATTGATGTAGTGTTTGGCTAAGAAAATATAATTTAGTCCGTCTCAGGAAAATCTTGTCTGTTAAAGGGTCATACATCACACTAAAATTGTTTAAATAGCATAAGAACGCCAACGGATAGCTCATATTAGTCTTTCAGGGGGCACACTTGGGGTATGTCGTTTTAGATAAGTATAAATCTTATTTTTTGTAATGAAAATGGACACATATTTATTAATAACATTTTTGACTTTTTTGATTGACTGATAGACAAATTAAAATATACATTTTAACATTTAAAAAATATTCACATGCAAGAAACCCTCTTTTGAGCCTTTCATAACCCGGACAATATAAGCCAATCAGGACGCATCATTTTCTACCTATTACGAATAACCTGACTTCTATAAAGAATGTATTGGCTGTCACTAATTAAATAAAAATAAATTGTTCCTCCACAGTCGCTTGCCCAGGAGTGGGTGCCGAATACTAACTTTCATCTTTGATAATTAAATTTACGGTATTAGATGATATTGGTTTACAGTGCAGGGATTAACTATTATAGCGATCTTCTCAGTAAGTCGATTCTAGAACAATAAGGTGGCGTGGCCTTTTCCATTAGCGCTAATGCCTAAAAGAAATCCCTTGCATATTGAAAGGGATGAAACGGCGTCTTTCAATATCATCTCATTTCGTTAGCCATCTTAATTTTGTCTGTCACCAGTCCAGCGTCTAGGACAGCTTTTAAGATAATCAAAGGGGCATAGCCTTGTGTATCATTATAAAACATGTGTCTATGGTACTCTAATACTTACATAAAACATATGCAACTATAAATGGATATATATGCTAATTCATTTTAACATTTCTTTGTGTTGTTACTTTTCATAGCTATGGATGCCATTTTGGTTCGCGTACCTTTTGTAAAACTGTTCATTGAAACCTTTTACAGAACCTCACAAACATATCGTCATTTTTATCAATTCTTATTCTGTACGTCATCACAATATCCGAAGCCTAGTTTCACAATCATATGTATTGACGTTAAATATAATTCTCTTTTTCTTCAAATGTTTCGATATTAATTCATTTAGCTAAGTTATACAGTAACATTCTCATGTGTTAACTGAAATCCTTTATTGTAAATTATGGAGGGTATATACGATCGATATGGTCAATAAATTTGTTGTGAAATTACATCGTCGATATATATTAATGTAAAATTGAAAGACTTTGCTAGGAATTTGTTACCTGACCTGATAAGCTCATCAATAAATTCAATTCATATGAAATCAAAAACAAATTGGCCAGAAGAGGGCCGAAGTTTGTTCCCTTATGAATGCCTACAGTCTCCTGGACAATCTTACCACCGAACCCAACAAAGCTACTGTCAACCAGGAACTCAATCATTATCACACACCCGTCCTCAGTAGGTTTCAATTTGGCATTGGTTGTGCTGTTCACAAAGTACGCTGCAAAATGTTTTACTGATATAAATGTATATCGCCGCTAGCATTTCTTTGTGCAAAAAACTCTTGTATCAAGAGATACAAAGCGTTTCTTCAGTTTGGTATAAAGTATGACAGTGTTAATGGTCGAAATGTCAAAAGGTTTGATACAAGACACGTTTTAGAGAAGAGGATGTTTAAGGTTGATCAACACATCGTTTTAATTCCCAACGTTCCAATTATTACACCTTTTCAGTATATTTGTTACACTCCATTTACAGTGGGACAGTTTTTAATAGAATGTTCAGATTTTAAACACATTCGTGATAATTACTTTCGAGTCCCGGATTTTAAAACTCTTTTCATTTCCGTGGACTCGAATGGATTATTAAACTATTTGAAAGACATCGGTCTATTCTATACACTCTGATGTCTTTAAACTCTTCTAACACTCTTTGACGTTATGCATATATCTCATATGCCATATAAGCTATTAATTATATTTTTTATTATTTTAACCCCTTTATTTTTATTATTTACACAAACAATGCGAATGCTTTTAAAATATGCATTTTATCAGATTTCATCTTCGCTACTCTCATGTTTGTTGAATAAAATAAATAAATAAATCACCATGGCCCTATAAATGACCACAGTTGTCGATGGGCCGTTAAACACAAACAAACAAAATCTTGATTAGACAGTGTCATAGTTCGACTACAACCCTTACCTTGTGGTGCGCAGCATGGTAGTGAGATGTTTGGACAATTGTTTGGTAGAGGCAGGTCTGTGTACTTATCATTAATGGGTATTCGAGAAGTTTGTAATACAGTAGCATGCTAAGCTAATAGTTTGTCTTTCGAAATATTGGACAATGTATTGGCAGAGTTTCCTAGGTTATCGAGCAAGCCTTGTTCTTTCTGCAATGTAATGGTGTTTGCAGACAATTTAAGTAATAAGATGCTTTTTGAAGACACAATAACATACCTATTGAGTAGATTTGTGAGGGTTGTTTGGACATTGGGGTCAAGAAATACAGATTTGTGTTTTGTTTTCATTTTACAAAACAGCTTCAAGAAAGTGCCAAACATCCAGCAACTGTCCCAATCAGCAGTCAGACATCAGGTAATTATCCCCACTCAGTGTTCAGACATCAATTGACTGACCCCGCTTAGCAATAACAATATCAAAAAGTTGCAGGCAGAATTGATCACATATCATTGGATTTAAGGCGGAAATGATAACAATATCATTGGGTCTTAGGTGGAATTAATAACAATATCATCGGGTTGTAAATTGAATTGACAACTATGCTATTGGGTTGCGTGTGGTATTGAGAATAATAGCATATCGTCGGGTTGTAGAATCAAATGATAACAATATACTTTGGTTGTAGGCTTAAATGATAAAAAATTCATTTGATTTGTAGGTGGATTGAAAACAATGTAATTTAAGTTAAACGTGGAATTGAAAATAATGTAATTGAGTTATACTAAAACATTAATTAATGCTAAATGATACGCTTTCTTATACAACCGTTGCACCTCACTTACTTCTTCATTCCATGTAAGATACATCTTAAAGTTACGTAAAATGTTTAGGGAATGGAATTTTAAAAAGTAAGGATACCTTCAAGTGGTATTGATTGAATGATTTAGCACTGTTGAATCAATAAAAAAATGGCAAAGTTGAGCATGTCCTGGCCTAGGGACAGAAACAATTGCCTTCCCCACCTTGGAGAATGTTCAACACTTAAACCAAAATCGAGGCGTTGCCAAACCAGGCTCTAGGAAATAAAAGATTGTTAAAATAGAGAGAAATAAAATATCCCAAACATTGCAATAGGTAAGCAGATTTATTTGTATTGCTTTTTGCAATCCGTTCCTCTATCGAGACACAGAAAAAAATCACAAAACATCAACGAAATTAAAGCCTATTCAAAACTAATTAATTCCTATCGTTTGATATACCAGTCACTAATACTCATCTTTTTCAGGTTCAATGCCGAAAAAGTTTATAAAAAAATTTGTTCGATTATTCTTATTGAATTCTTTACATGGAAATCGTTTAGAATTTTCATGATAGCGCATGATGTCACGTGACTCCAACGATGACAAAATATTTGTTACGAGCACCTTTTTTTTTAAATTCGCATGCTCCATGATGGGGTGCCTGACTGTGTGGAGTGTGTCCCCTTCCACCTGCCGATTGTTTGTATCCGTTACCTCCAGGCCCTGACGTCCACACTCCGCCTTTGACCACCGCCTCACCACCTCGTACACCACGCTTTCCTCCACTGCCAGGTCGTCCAACTCAGTGATACTCTTTACGCATTCGTTCCACAAGTCGACAAAACTGGTAGACGTCATCACTTCATGTGATCTTGCATTCACCTGTACACAATCATTGGGACGTAGAGGGAATTGATAACAATATCATTGGGTCGTAGGTGAGATGGATACAAATATCATTGGTTCGTAGGTGGCATTGGTAAAAATATCATTGGGTCGTAGGTGGAAGTGATAACATTATCATTGGGACATAGGTGGAAGTGATGACAATATCATTGGGCCGTAGGTGAGATGGATACAAATATCATTGGTTCATAGGTGGCATTGGTAAAAATATCATTGGGGCGTAGGGGGAAGTGATAACATTATCACTGGGACGTAGATGAAATTGATAACAATATCTTTGGGTCGTAGGTGAGATGGATAAAAATATCATTGGGTCGTAGGTGGCATTGGTAAAAAAAGCATTGGGTCGTAGGTGGAAGTGATAACATTATCATTGGGACGTAGATGAAATTGATAACAATATCATTGGGTCGTAGGTGAGATGGATAAAAATATCATTGGTTCGTAGGTGGAAGTGATAACATTATCATTGGGACGTAGGTGGAAGTGATAACAATATAATTGGGACGTAGGTGGAAGTGATGACAATATCATTGGGTCGTAGGCAGAATTGATAACAATATCATTGGGTCGTAGGTGGCAATGATAACAATTTCATTGGATCGTAGGTGAAATTGAGAATAATATCATTATGTCGTGGGTGAAATGGATAACAATATCATTAGGCCGTAGGTAGAAGTGTTAACAATATCATTGGATCGTAGGCGGCAGTGATAACAATATCATTGGGTCGTAGGTGGAATTGGAAGTGATGACAATATCATTGGGACGTAGGTGAGATGGATAATAACAATATCATTGGGTCGTAGGTGAGATGGATAAAAATATCATTGGTTCGTAGGTGGTAGTGATAACATTATCATTGGGACGTAGGTGGAAGTGATAACAATAGCATTGGGTCGTAGGCAGAATTGATAACAATATCATTGGGTCGTAGGTGGCAATGATAACAATTTCATTGGATCGTAGGTGAAATTGAGAATAATATCATTAGGTCGTGGGTTGAATTTATAACATTATCATTGGGACTTTGGTGGAATTGATAACAATATCATTTGGTTGTAGATTAAAGTGATAACAATATCATTAGGTCGTAGATGGAAGTGATGACAATATCATTGGGACGTAGGTGAGAGGGATAAAAATATCATTGGGTCGTAGGTGGCATTGATAAAAATATCATTGCGTCGTAGGTGGAAGT